AGGACATAGTCTCCAAGAAAATAAAGGGTAATTGCAAATGTAAAACTTATTTTGGCAAATGACATTTCCCGTGAGAAAATAGGGGATGGGTGGGGGGGGACTAGTATTTGTTAAGATAAAACTGATTTTGCCCCTATTAATCTTTTAAAAACTTGTGAAATTTGAAGGTGTTAACAAACTTCCATAGTAACGAGTTATATTCCTAACCGGAATCGTGTTGTCATTTGCCAAATAAGTTTTACCTTTGCAACTACTACCCCCGCCCACCCGCCCTTTATTTTCTCAGAGGGTATGGCATTTGCCAAAATCAGTCTTATCATAGCAAGTACTAGCCCCGCCCACCCGCCCTCTATTTTTTCAGAAGCTATGACGTCTGCCAAAATCAGTCTTATCTGAGCAAGTCCTAGCCCCGCCCACCCGCCCCTATTTGATATGTGATTTGCCAAAATAAGACTTATCTTAGGAAGTACTAGCAAGTACTACCTTCTGAGAAAATGAAGGATGGGTGGGCGGTCTAGTACTTGGTAAGATAAGACTGATTTTGGCAAGTCACATATCCTCTGATAAAATACCGGGTGGGTGGGCGGGGCCAGAACTTAGTAAGATAAGACTCATTTTGGCAAATGACATATCCTCTGTAAAAATAGGGGCGGGTGGGCGGGCCTAGTATTTGTTAAGATAAGACTGACTTTGGCAAAGGACCTACTCTGTCAGAAAAAAAGGTCGGGTGGAATATAATTTCATTTCCGCCTAATACCAAATTAATAGTACTTATTAGTAGCCAAAATCAGTCTTATCTTGGCAAGTAAGCCCCGCCCACCCGCACTTTATTTATTTTAATAAACAAATTGTTTTTGGATCTCGTCCTGAACATTATTTTCAGCTTTACTTCTTCGAAAATTCGCACCATTGTTCCAGAATTCTTCTTTTGATGGCAGTTTTTAAGATAAAAAAAATGACTTTCGACTGAATAAATATTTCAAAAATCTTACTCCAGGACTATCTAGTCGTATATTTTTCGAATTAACACGTAGCAATCTGTACCTCAGGATTTTTTTGTAGATTTTCAGACAACTTTTCTAAAAGCTGAATTTCTTATGTACTTCCTTCCCCCTTACAAAATTTTCGATATTCAACGATTAGATTCGAAAATCAACTAAGAGACGTTTTTACAAATTTAGACCTCCAGAAAATATTTTGGGCTTCATTTATTCGAAATTTACTACCATTTTTCTCTAAATTCTTTTTAAAATTATAAAAAAATACTTTCGAACTGAATATTTCGAAAATCTTACTCCGAGACCATAAACACACAAAATTTTTCGAATCAACACATCGAGGTCTGTATTCCAGAATATTTTGTGTATTTTTAGAATTTTTCCAAAATGTCAATTTTTCAACATACGAAATTTTCGACTTTTTTCGATTAGCTTAGTAATTTCTAAAGTGATATTATTTTACAGATTTCGGCTTCGAGAAGTTATTTTCGGTTTCTTTTCTCCGAAAATTCTTGGTATTTTTCCAGAATCGCCAATATTAAATACAACAATTCTAGGATTTTCGAAAATTTTGTCTTCCAAACCGAATAATTAGCGAGTGTTGTTCCGGAACAATAAACACCCTGTTTTACACGAAATTTTTTATTTTAACTTTGCCCAGATAAGACTGATTTTGGCAAAGAAGCTATTCTCCAAGAAAATAAAGGGTGGGTGGGCGGGGCTAGTACTTGCCAATATAGAACTGAATTTGGCAAAGGACTTAATCTTTAAGAAAACAAAGGGCGGGTGGGCGGTACTTGCGAAAATAAAACTGATTTTGAGAAAGGACGTAGTCTCCAAGAAAATAAAGAGTAAGTGCAAATGTAAAACTTATTTTGGCAAATGACATTTCCTGTGAGAAAATAGGGGATGGGTGGGCGGGCCTAGTATTTGTTAAGATAAAACTGATTTTGCCCCTATTAGTCTTTTAAAAACTTGTGAAATTTGAAGGTGTTGACAAACTTCCATAGTAACGAGTTAAATTCCTAACCGGAGTCGTGTTGTCATTTGCCAAATAAATTTTACCTTTGCAACTACTAGCCCCGCCCACCCGCCCTCTATTTTTCAGAGGGTATGGCATTTGCCAAAATCAGTGTTATCATAGCAAGTACTAGCCCCGCCCACCCGCCCTCTATTTTTTCAGAAGCTATGACGTCTGCCAAAATCAGTCGTATCTGAGCAAGTCCTAGCCCCGCCCACCTGCCCTCTATTTATTGAGAAGGTATGACGTTTGCCAAAATCAGTTTTATCTGAACAAGTACTAGCCCCGCACACCCGCCCCTATTTGATATGTGATTTGCCAAAACAAGACTTATCTTAGGAAGTACTAACAAGTACTACCCTCTGAGAAAATGAAGGATGGATGGGCGGTCTAGTACTTGATAAGATAAGACTGATTTTGGCAAGTCACATATCCTCTGATGAAATACCGGGTGGGTGGGCGGGGCCAGGACTTAGTAAGATAAGACTCATTTTGGCAAATGACATTTCCTGTGAGAAAATATGGGGTGGGTGGGCGGTCCTAGTATTTGTTAAGATAAAACTGATTTTGCCCCTATTAATCTTTTAAAAACTTGTGAAATTTGAAGGTGTTAACAAACTTCCATAGTAACGAGTTATATTCCTAACCGGAATCGTGTTGTCATTTGCCAAATAAGTTTTACCTTTGCAACTACTACCCCCGCCCACCCGCCCTCTATTTTCTCAGAGGGTATGGCATTTGCCAAAATCAGTCTTATCATAGCAAGTACTAGCCCCGCCCATCCGCCCTCTATTTTTTCAGAAGCTATGACGTCTGCCAAAATCAGTCTTATCTGAGCAAATCCTAGCCCCGCCCACCCGCCCTCTATTTGTTGAGAAGGTATGACGTCTGCCAAAATCAGTTTTATCTGAACAAGTAGTAGCCCCGCACACCCGCCCCTATTTGATATGTGATTTGCCAAAATAAGACTTATCTTAGGAAGTACTAACAAGTACTACCCTCTGAGAAAATGAAGGATAGGTCGGCGGTCTAGTACTTGGTAAGACAAGACTGATTTTGGCAAGTCACATATCCTCTGATAAAATACCGGGCGGGTGGGCGGGGCCATGACTTAGTAAGATAAGACTCATTTTGGCAAATGACATATCCTCTGTAAAAATAGGGGGCGGGTGGGCGGGCCTAGTATTTGTTAAGATAAGACTGATTTTGGCAAAGGACCTACTCTGTCAGAAAATAAAGGTCGGGTGGAATATAATTTCATTTCCGCCTAATACCAAATTAATAGTACTTATTAGTAGCCAAAATCAGTCTTATCTTGGCAAGTACTAGCCCCGCCCACCCGCCCTTTATTTATTTTAATAAAGAAATTGTTATTATATCTCGTCATCTGAACGTTATTTTCAGCTTTACTTCTTCGAAAATTCGCACCATTGTTCCAGAATTCTTCTTTTGATAATTGTTTTTAAGATTTAAAAAAAATCGACTTTCAAACTGAATAAATATTTCAAAAATCTTGCTCCACGTTATATTTTTCGAATCAACACGTAGCAATCTGCACCTCAGGATTTTTTGTGGATTTTTAGGTAACTTTTCTAAAAGCTGAATTTCTTAATACTTCCTTCCCCCTTACAAAATTTTCAACTTTTAACGATTAGCTTCGAAAATCACCTAAAGAGACTTTTTTACAAATTTAGACCTCCAGAAATTATTTTGGGCTTCATTTATTCGAAATTTCCTACCATCTTTCTCTTAATTCATTTTTAAAATTATAAAAAAATACTTTCAAACTGAATATTTCTAAAATCTTACTCCGAGACCATAAACATGTGGATTTTTAGAGAACTTTTCCAAAACGTCAATTTTTCAACGTACGAAATTTGTGACTTTTTTCGATTAGCTTAGTAAATTCCTAAAGTGATATTATTTTATAGATTTCGGTTTCTTTTCTTCGAAAATTCTTGGTATTTTTCCAGAATCGCCAATATTAAATAAATAGAACAATTCTAGGATTTTCAAAAATTTTGTCTTCCAAACTGAATACATCTTTGGCAAAGTTTTGAAGTTTTTTATTATTTCAATTTCGCCAAGAGAAGACTGATTTTGGCATAGGACCTAATCTCTAAGAAAACAAAGGGTGGGTGGGCGGGGCTAATACTTTCGAAAAAATGATCGCTTCTTTTGGCCATTTGTTTAGCCAAAAATTCGTGCTTTACTTATATATCTTTCTTAGGCAGTAAAATAAAATAAGATGCAGTCGGGTTGACAGCTAATTGACATTTGTTTGTTTGATAAAAATCAGAATAAGTGTATGAGTTTGGAAATCTAACCGAATTAAACCAAAATATATGGTTTTCAAAGTATCTTGAAATAAATCATTAGAGAAATTTCAAGGTTTTATTTTTATACTATATTATATTGACTGCAGCGAGTCCCCTCTGTCGCTCTATGAGCACCATAAACCACCCGAAAATTCAAACAAACATCTCTGTACTATACTCAAAAGCAACTTCAACCCTGTCCTTCAGCTTCGTTCATCGCTCCATAAAGAAATAAATTTCCCCGAATCCGCCTGTCCTAGTCTTGAAAGACCCCAGCAAACTCTGATCGCTCGACAATAAAAACGTCCCTCAGTTAAATACCCGCTGGGACGTCATCCTTCGCCCCATCCACGAAATATTTCCACCAGCCTCGTTTCCACAGTCCGTCCCAAGCCCGACTCCCGTCAACCCGTCCCCGCCAGCGCAACAAGTTCCTCTCCGTCTTTCCAAAACAATCCCGCGCCTTTCTCCACAAAAATTCCGGCCGTCGCCGCAGCCTCGGCCTTTAAATCTCCCGACCTTTGTTCCTCCTCGTCGTTTTCCTTTGATGTCGCCACTTTTAGATTGGGCCGTTTTACGACAGGAAACGCACCGCCGGGACATGTGTACGCATGCATGTTTCAAATTCGAAATAACCCGGCCCGGCTTCCGCCTCCGACTCACCGTTGTCTTGCTGGGCGGATTCCCGTCACATGGTCATCTCGTAGACGCCGGGTGCGAGCACAGCACAGACACAAACATAAAGCACACACAGCACTCGGGAGTCGAACAGCGCGCCGAAGAAGACGTCCGACCTCCGCGACAACCGACGCGGTATTGAGGTTTTCAAATTAAGTTGTGTTGGAAAGAGGCTGACAGCCAGCGGAGGCGAGTACCTGAGGCCGACCTCTCTCTCGCTGCAAGAAGTGCGGTGGCATGGGCGGCGGGGTGCAGGGGGCGATGGGGTTCGGGTGGTGGTGGTAACGAATATTAAAGAGGAAACTAATAACTAGTAACTAATTTTTTGTAATTTGGGGAGTACTTCAGTGGTAATCCCGCTTAGAGAATGTCACTGTTTACTCATTAAGTTATTAGTTATATAATGTCTGACTTAACCTCAAGTTTTTGCTACACGCAGGATTACGATAAGCACGCAATTTTTGTATAATTTAGTAAACAATTACCTTGATTCTTCACGACGGTTGTCTGAGTTAAATGTCTAAATATTTTAATTCCACGTTGTAATTCACGTCTGATTGTGCTGTTTTTCTGTGGTTTTGGCACGACTAACATTGATATCTCCGATCTCTGTGTTATGAATTAGTAGTTGTTACATAATAACGTACGCACGCTTTTGGCATTAGTTTCGGCTCAGTGAATGTTTAAAAAATATTGTTATTAACACAATAACTGAATGGGAAATGACAACATCGAGATTCTAGAACAGATAACCTGGCGAATTCTTTGTAGTACTCTATTCTAGTTTGGTGCAAGACTAGCGATATCAATATGATCAGACTGTTCAAAACACGCTTCTGAATTTTGGCTGTTATTGACTCATTTTAAAAAATCCTCAGTGAATACAAAATATTTTTTTTTATTTCACATTACGTATCTACATACTTTATTTCCATGGATAATTCAAGTTCAAGTTCAAAAATTACCTAAAGAGATTTTTATAGACTTCGACATCCAGAAGTTATTTTTGACTTCAGTTCTTGGACAATTTCTACAATTTTTTTTTAATGCCTTTTTTGAAATATGGAAATTTTAAGGTGAAAAAAATGGATTTTTAAACTAAAGATTTCGAAAATCTTGTTGTGGGCCAAACACACGATTTATTTTTTGAATCAACACGTCGAGATATACATTCCCGAATTATTTGTGGATTTTTAGACAATTTTTTCAAAAGTTGAATTTCTCTGCACTTATTATTATTTTCGGCCTTTTTTGGCTACCTTGGAAAATTATTTAAAGATATATAATTTTTTTTTTAAATTTCGACCTCCGGGGAGTTAGTTTCAGCTTTGGTTCTTCGAAAAATTGTCCCAATTTTGCAGAATTCCTATTCTGAAATACGACAATTTTAAGGATTAAAAAAAATGTTTATTCTGAATTTTTAGAATCAATACACCGCAATTATATTCCAGATATTTGTGGGGACTTTTAAGCAACTTTTCCAAAAATTATGAAATTTTCTACCTTTTTTTTGACCAACTTTGAAAAATATGTACTAAAAGAGATTTCTACCTCCAGAGGTTATTTTCGGGCTCACTTCTTCGAAAGTTCCTGGTATTTTTCCAAAATGGTCAAATACTTTTCCAACAGTTCACTTTTTCGGTATACGAAAATTTTGACTTTTTTCGATCAGCTTAGAAAATTACCTAAAGTGATTTTTTTTAATAGATTTATACCTCTAGAAGTTACTTTCGGCTCTATGAATACGGGAAATTTGAAATTTTCGATATTTTTTCCAGTACACAAATTATTAAAGATACTCTTTTTAGATTTAAAAGTCATATTTGCAGAATCTCTCTTCGGAAATATGGCAATTTTAAGGATTAAAAAAAACTTTCAAACTGAATACATCGTGATATATACTCCAGATTTTTTTTGTGTATTTTTAAGCAACTTTTCCAAAAACCGAATTTTTCGATACTCCGTTCTTATGCAATTTTCTACCTTTTTTTGACCAACTTTGAAAAATATATACTAAAAGAGATTTCTACCTCCAGAAGTTATTTTCGGGTTCACTTCTTTGAAAGTTCCTGGTATTTTTCCAATATTTCGAAAATCTTGCATCGAAACAATAAACACTATGTTTTCGGATCAACAAGACAAAATGTACATTCCACAACTTTTTGTAGATTTTTAGGCAATTTTTTCAACAACCGAATTTTTAAATTGCTTTACGAAATTTTTGACTTTTTCCAACCACTTTTCAAAGGTATCCAAAGAAATTTTTTGTAGATTTCGACGCCGAGTGGTAGTAATTTTCGACGAACGGAAGTCGAAAATAACTACCATTTTTTCAAAATCTCTTTTAAAATATCGCAGTTTCAAGGATTTAAAAAAAATACTTTCAAACGAAATATTTCGAAAATCTCACTCCAGGACCATAAAAGTTCTGATTTTCGATTCAGCTTGTTGAGGTTTATATCTCATATTTATTTTCTGGATCTTTAGGCAACTTTTTGAAAAATTCAATTTTTCAATAATGAAAATTCCTAAATTCCTATGATTTTTCCAAAATTTCTCTTTTGAAATACGGTAATTTTTAAAATTCTGGAAAAATATTTTCAAAGTGAATATGTCTAAAATCTTACACCACAACCATATTTTCCGATTCAGCTTGTGATATATATGTCAAAGATATTTTGTGGATTTTCATACAATTTTTACAAAAGTTCAATTTTTCAGTATACCTTACGAAATTTTCGACTTTCTTCGACCAGCTTAGAAAATTACCTAAAATGATATTTTCTTATTTCTACCTCTAGAAGTTATTTTCGGGTGCACGTCTTGGAAAATTGCTAGCATTTTTCCAAAACGGCCAAATGAATTACGCCAATTTTAGGATTTTCAAAAATTTTGTCTTCCAAACCGAACATTTCGAAAATCTTGCATTAGAACGATAAACAATATATTTTCGGATCAGTAAGTGGAAGCGTACATTCCAGAATTTTTTGTGGATTTTTAGACAATTGTTCCAACAACTAAAGTTTTAAATTCCTTTACGATATTTTTTACTTTTTTTCCAAAATTACCCAAAGAAATTTTTTGTAGATTTCGATCCCGAGAAGTTATTTTCGAATTCCGTTCGTCGAAAATTACTATCATTTTTGCAAAATCTCTTTTAAAATATCGCAGGTTCAAGGATTTAAAAAAAATTACTTTCAAAGAAAATATTTCGAAAATCTCGCTCCAGGACGTTCTGATTTTCGATTCAGCTTGTTGAGGTTTATATCTCATTTATTTCCTGGATCTTTAGGTAACTTTTACAAAAATTCAATTTTTCAATAATGAAAATTCTTATGATTTTTCCAAAATCTCTCATTTGAAATACGGTAATTTTGAAAATTCTGGAAAAATATTTTCAAAGTGAATATTTCTAAAATCTTAGACCAGAACCATAAACACGTTATATTTTCCGATTCAGCTTGTTGTGATGTATATGTCAAATATATTTTATGGATTTTTATACAACTTTTCCAAAAGTTCAATTTTTCAGTATACGTTACGAAGTTTTCGACTTTCTTCGACCAGCTTAGAAAATTATCTAAAGTAATTTTTCTTATAGATTTCTACCTCCAGAAGTTATTTTCGGGTTCACTTCTTTGAAAATTTTTGGGATTTTTCCAAAATGGTCAAATCAAATACGCAAATTTTTAGGATTTTCAAAAATTTTGGCTCCCAAACCGAATATTTCGAAAATCTTGCATCTGAACAATAAACACTATATTTTCGGATCAACAAGTCGAAATGTACATTCCAGATTTTTTTTTATTTTTAGGCAATTTTTCCAACAGCTGAATTTTTGAATTCCGTTATGAAACTTTTGATTTTTTTCAACCACTTTCCAAAATTACCCAAAGAAATTTTTTGTAGATTTCAACCCCTAGAAGTTATTTTCGGCTTCAGTTCGCCGAAAATTTCTGCCATTTTTGGAAAATCCCAAAATCCTAAAATATGGTAATTTCAAGGATTCATACAAAGTTGACTTTCTAACGGAATTTTTCGAAGATCTCGCTCCAGAACCACAAACATTTTGATATTCGATTCAGCTTATTGGGGTTTATGTTTATATCTCATATTTATTTTCTGGATCGTTAGGCAACTTTTTCAATGATGAAAATTCTTATGATTTTTCCAAAATCTCTCTTTTGAAATACGGTAATTTTTAAAATTCTGGAAAAATAATTTCAAAGTAAATATTTCTAAAACCTTACACCAGAACCATAAATACCTTATCTTTTCGGATTCCGCTTGTCGTGATGTATTGTCAAAGATATTTTGTGGATTTTTATACAACTTTTCCAAAAGTTCCATTTTCCAGTATACGTTACGAAATTTTCGACTTTTTTCGACCACCTTAGAAAATTATCTAAAGTAATTTTTCTTATAGATTTCTACCTCCAGAAGTTATTTTCGGGTTCACTTCTTTGAAAATTCCTGGGATTTTTCCAAAATGGTCAAATCAAATACGCACATTTTTAGGATTTTCAAAAATTTTGGCTCCCAAACCGAATATTTCGAAAATCTTGCATCTGAACAATAAACACTATATTTTCGGATCAACAAGTCGGAATGTAGATTCCAGATTTTTTTTTATTTTTAGGCAATTTTTCCAACAGCTGAATTTTTGAATTCCGTTATGAAATTTTTGATTTTTTTCAACCACTTTCCGAAATTACCCAAAGAAATTTTTTGTAGATTTCAACCCCTAGAAGTTATTTTCGGTTTCAGTTCGTCGAAAATTTCTGCCATTTTTGCAAAATCCCAAAATGCTAAAATATCGCAATTTCAAGGATTTACACAAAGTTGACTTTCAAACGGAATATTTCGAAGATCGCGCTCCAGGACCACAAACATTTTGAAATTCGATTCAGCTTATTGGGGTTTATATCTCATATTTATTTTCTGGATCGTTAGGCAACTTTTTCAATAGTGAAAATTCCTATGATTTTTCCAAAATCTCTCTTTTGAAATCCGATAATTTTTAAAATTCTGTAAAAATATTTTCAAAGTAAATATTTCTAAAACCTTACACCAGAACCATAAACACCTTATCTTTTCCGATTCCGCTTGTCGTGATGTATATGTCAAAGATATTTTGTGGATTTTTATACAACTTTTCCAAAAGTTCCATTTTCCAGTATACGTTAC